TATGTATTTTGTGTGTGTGTGGCCAGCTCAGCCCACCAGGGGGCGGGGCTGGCTGGCATGTGGTGCTGGGGATTGAACGCGGTCCTTGTGCTTTGCTGAGCTTGTTCTAAGTAGGTGCTTTAGACCACTGAGCCATCTCACCAGCCCTGAAAAGCCTTTTTTATCTAACATTTTCCCTTAAAATAAATTATCTCTACTCAGAGCATACCTGTTTTACTCAAAAAGATATACTGTAGGAAAAAAGCTAATAAAGCAAAAAGAAAGATATACCCCGGTTCCGCAAAAAAAAAGAAAGAAAGAAAGAAAGAAAGAAAGAAAGAAAGAAAGAAAGAAAGAAAGACATACTGTACTGTTAGGGTATATGATTGGTTTACAACAAAACATGTAATTTTTTCTTTATGGTACTAGAGTCGAGGCCAGGCATGGTGGTGCACACCTGGAATCCCAGCACGTGGAAGGCTGGGGCAGAAGGATGACCTCAAGTTCAAGGCCACCCTGAATCGCAGTGAAGTCAGTGAGACCGTGTCTCAAGAAGAAATACTGGGGTTGAACCTCGGGCCTTGTACTGAGCTAAGCAACCCCCACCCCCATACTGAGGATTGAACTTGGGACCTCCTGCTTATGCCACTGAGCTGTCTCCCCAGCACCCCGAGTGTTTTGAGACACAGTCTTGCTAAGTTGCCAAGTTGCCTGGGCTGAGCTTGAACCTGCAATCCCCCTGCCTCAGCCTCCAGGGTGTTTAGGATGACAGCCATGTACCCTAAGCTCACCTGAGAAATGCTCCCCTGGCACGGGGGTGGGGGGGTATGAAAGTATAGCTCTCACTATGAGAAAGCTAGGAAATAGCTTGCCTCTGAAGACCCTAATCCTTTAACGCTGACCCCGGCACCTGGGGCCCCAGAGACAGTTTCCTGGAGGGCAGAGCTGGGGCTCCCCCTTTCTGAGGTGAATGGCACAGCCCTCCCTGGCCTGGGTACTGGCCAGCACTCCCGGGGGCACCCGCCTCCATTCTCAGTGCCCCAGAAACATCGTGCAGCCTGGCGTGCCACTAAGAAAGCAGGGCATCATGGGCACTGCACCTCCATGGTCTCCCTGCGGAGCTCTGCGGGCAGGACCAGCCTGGAGGCTCTGGGCGTGCTTCCCAGCGTGCCAGAAAGACTGAAAGGGGAAACCTCTGTCTGAGCCAACACTTTAGCACATGCGAATTGTTCCTTTCCTTCTGGTGACTGGACCCGGGTGCAATGCTGTGCTGCCAAACTCCACGCCTTCTGCTTCAATTCTGCAGGCATTTTTGTTCTTTTTTTTTTTTTTTTGAGACAGGGTTTGTCTCACTACGTAGCCCATGCTGGCCTGAAATTCGCAGCAGTCCTCCTGCCTCAGCCTCCTGAGTGCTGAGAGTACAGGCAGGGCCAACACACGTGGAACCCTGGGCTCAGTCCACGGCAAAAGCCCTGAGACTGACCGTGGAGCCACTGAGTGCGCACTCCGTGAACCCCGTGAACCCCGGCATGTGAGGGCTGAGGGGTCCCGCAGCACAGCAACCGCGCTGTGTGCGAGTGCGCTCGGCTGCATTTGCTGTGTGCACAGCACGGGGGAGGCAGGTGCAGGCAGGCGGTGGAGCAGGGCGGCCTGTGGGGGCCGGCAGAGCTGGCGTGGGGACCAGAACTCCGCTGGGAAGCAGACACTCAGAGCACACGGCCCGTAAAAACCCCCAATCCGCACTCTGTGAGCGTTGACCACACCATGGCAGATTGCTTCTTCTGTTTTGAATTTATTTTGCAGGATCCAGTGGCCACATCCATGTGTGGAACTGGCACGTGCGCATGACGCACCCAGTTCTTCTCTTCCTCCACTTTCCCTCCTTTTTGCTAAACTGCTCAGGCTGGCCGCAAACTTGTGCTCCTGCTACAGCCTCCCCACCTGCTGGGATCACAGGTGTATGACACTGTGTCCTGACCCAAATCCTTTTTTGTTTGAGATAGGGATTTGATTTGAACTATGTTGCCCAGGCTGGCCTCAAACTGAAGGTGATCCTCCTGCCTCAGCCTCCCGAGTGCTGGAATTACACGTGTGCACCATCACGCCTGGCTCCCAAATCCTTCTTAAAGAGAACTCCAGGTACACTGAAAGCCCTGTGTGTTAGGGGCCATGTTGTTATTTGGCATAGTGGAAAGAAGCAAATTAAATACCTAGAGACAGGGAATTGGTTCAATAAATCCAGGCGCAGCAGCAGGATGAGCGCGCAGGCAGCAGGGAAATGCTTTATTCGAGAAGTTTGTGAGGCAGGAAGGGCGAGGGGTCGGCGCCACGGCCAGGCACGGAGAGGACAGAGCGATGTAGGAGGGCATCGCCCCAGAGGAGGCACAGCCGCAGACCACGGGACGATAGGGCCCCAAGTACAGAGCACTGGCTGTCTTGGCGGGGGGGTGGGGTGGGTGGTGGCATAACTTTCCTTCTGGTTTCCCCCCAACTTTCTGAGTTTTGCACACTGAGCACCCCAATCTCATTTTTAAAAAAAATTTTTTTTACATTTATTTAGTGTGTGTGCGCGCGCGTGCGCGTGGGGCCAGCTCAGCCCACCAGGGGGCGGGGCGGGCTGGCATATGGTGCTGGGGATTGAACCGCGGTCCCTGTGCTTTGCTAAGCTTGTTCCAAGTAGGTGCTTTAGACCACTGAGCCATCTCCCCAGCCCCCCAATCTCATTTT